CCACCAAGACGCTGAGATTGGTTAAGGTGTTTCTGAAGTTGAATGACACACAGTGGCAGTTAGAACAGTGGTTCAGTTCATGGTCTATGTGGGGGTGATATGTATATTAGATAGGTGTGGGATTGTGGAAAAGAGATTGATTAATGCATATTTCAAGAGGGTGAGGTTCAATATATTGTTCAAGAGAGAGGGTAGGGTGGAAATAAAGAAGTGTTTTAAGTGGGTGTGGTCATAAAGTAGTTTGTAGGTGCAGGTGGTTATAACGATTGGTCTGTCAATGGGTGTGATCATTAAGAATATGGCTGTGGTTATGATGGGTTTGAAGATAGGTGCGATTAGTGTAGGAAATTAGATGGTTCGAGAAGTATTAATGAAAATTGCATGTGTGTTTGGCAAAATATTTATAATAGCACGAGTGGTATTATTAATATTTCGCCAAACAAAGTGTGATTTTTCATTAAAACTTTGAGAACAAGTGTAATTTCCTATTAATTAATATCATTTTTAAAGTCAATTTTACACTTGCAATCAATGTTAAGAAGCATTATATTAATGTAGTCAAACGAGCACAGCCATACAAGTAATTTCTGACATTAATTTTCAATTCATACCTGTGAAAAACTGTGAATAATCTTTATTTCTATTTTATCTTTAATATTTAAACATATTACAAGAGCTCATTGCAAAATAAGAGCTCAGAAAATATGAATTTTCGAGTTGTTTATTTACTAGTAGATTTTGCGATTTTATGTTTAATGCATGCATGCTCGTATTTGTGCCGATTAATCTTTAATCGGCACACTGTGCCGATTAATCTTTAATCGGCACACTGTGCCAATTAATGTTTATTTGGCACAGTTTTTAACCAATCAGAATTGAGTAAATTGACTAAAACTGATATTATTATAATATGGGTGAGGTTATGATGGGTTCATAGATGGATGTGGTTAGGATGGGTTTGAAGTTGGGTGTGGTCATGATGGGTTACAGATTACAGATATTTCACAGCACACTCCCTATCAGGGCTTTTCAGTGACTGGTTACATTATGAATAGATAGATAGAACCGGACTGACGTGAAGCAGACCGAGGTAGACTTTGAGCTTACAAATGGCGCTTGAGCAGCCGCTATTAGTCTATACCTCATTAATGATCTGCCTCCAGACCTATGTGCCTAACCCACCCTGTCAACTTTCCCTGTGGGAGGAAACACAGAGTACCGGAGAAAACCCACGACTTTCAGCAGAGTGTTGACTTTTACTCTTTTCACATGAGGTCTGGGTTCGAGTCACATTGAGAAGTTCTCACTGAGATTTGAACCTATGACCTTAGAGGTGAAAGGCAAATGCGCTAACCACTTCGCCACCGAAGCCCCATAGGTTCAAAGATGGGTGTGGTTTTGATGGGTTTAAAGATGGATGTGGTCATGAGAAGCTCATGGATGGGTGTGTGGTAGAAATCATGGATAGGTGTGTGTGCAAGCCTGAAAATAAGCGGCCGGTCACGGACATTGTCCGGTACGAAAAGATCATTGTCCGGCACAATTGGTTTTCTGACGGACAGTTTGTCCGGCAGCATATTGATACGACTACTGGTGAAACTGTCTACAACTGGCATTAAAAATTTCATTATATTTCAAAATATTGCTCACTAAGCTTTTCATTGACTTCTTTTATTTCAAGGACCACAAAAACTATATAATATTTTTTGTCAGGCACAAAATGTCCAGTGTCAGGCACCAATCATTTGGTACCTGACACTTTGTCAGGCACCATTGGAAATTTATTTTCAGGCTTGTGTGTGTGGGTGATAAAATGAATGCATTGAAAATGAATGCATTGTGTGTGGGTGATAAAATGAATGCATGACTGCCGATCATGGTGATCAGCAGTCATGACTTCCCCTGCTTTTTCTGATTAAAAATCCTGCTTTCCACCAATCATAAACAATTAAAAATCCTGCTTTCCACCAAACATTGATCAGTAATTGGCTGTTATTTCAAGCTCTGCTACCTTAGTTTATTTCTGACAGAATCCCAAGGCCAAAGTGAAGGTTGAAACAATGGTTTATCAGATTCGTCTTCATTTATTTCTTCATCTTCATCTTTTGCCTTTGAGAAGTCAATCTTGTGAGCAAGTTGAGCAAGCTTCTCTGACATCGATAACTGACTAAAAAAAACATGGACATTTTGGTTAGAAACACAACTGATCTGATCTGCTAATGCAATACGCCTTTCCGAAAAGTACGTCACTTTGGCTACAGAGCCTCATTTTCGTTTATCTGACATCATTTAAAGCCCACGTCTCAATCACAAAAACAAAATTTGTTGGTGTAGTGGTGTAAGATTACTCAAAGTCTTTCTTATATTGGCGTAAGATTACTTTACAGTCTTAAAAGCACACAGGATTGTCTATTCTGACATGGGTTTTAGTTCACAAAAGTAAAACTATCTGAAATATTGTTGTTTAAGGGCATATCTCCGGCATAGAGTTCACATGGAATGCATCCTGGAATGAGGACTCTCGTGAATAGTGAGGAATTGCCTTTCGTCTTGATTCATGAGAGTGAGGCTGCCAAGTCATTTGCCAAGGGAGTATTCATGATGTAATTGTCAAATGGGTGTTTGGACAACTCAAGGTGCTTTCCATTTAATGGCGAAACCGGTCAGACCAGAATTTCTCGAGAAGTTCAGGCTTCTCGAAATCTAGCAAAAATGGGTCTCCATCAAAATTAATCCAAATTTTCAGATTAGATTGGCCCGAAGTCCAAATGTGTCATGTTCCATTCAACAATTTGACCATTTAAGCACCCCTACAATCCTACATGTCTAGTACTAGTTACCACTGTTCCGATAATGTATAAAGTATAGAATATAGCAAATATAACCAAAAATTTGAATTATATATGTGAATGAATTGGATGGCAACAGGCATAAATCTGAAAAATGGGAAGTCTGACAAAGTCAATATTTAATAATAAAGTGATATTACTGATATAATGAAAAGTCATCAAACTACTTAGGGGCGGACCATTAGAAATCCTGGGAGGGGGGGTGAAAATTAAAAAAAAAAATTCGTGCAAAAAAAAAATGGCTGGAAAAAAAATTCGTGCAGCCATTACGTCAGAGAAAAAAAATTCGTGCAAGCAAACAGCAAAGTACAAGTAGTCTTGAAAAAAAATTCGTGCAGAGGTTAAATGCATTAAAAAAAATTCCTGCAGAGACATGAGACTGAAAAAAAAAATTCGTGCCGCAAAAATTTTATACCCCCCTCCCGGGATTTCTAATGGTCCGCCCCTTATTGAGTTTCAATATAACAACATAAATAACTAGGTTTAGCATGCCATCTTTTAAAGTACGGTAGAAGACGATAGGGTTGCCCACTCTCAAAGTTTAAACGTTGTAATGACCAAACGTTGATGTAACGTGGACGAAATGTACACTGTCCGAAAACTGGGCAGCATGCTGTATCACATTATAAAACACCGAGTATATGCTGAAAGAAAGAAGGCAATACTTCCTAAATATTGATATTATATAAGACTATAATGCACTAAACGTTAAAAAACTTACGGTACGTATGTTTCTTGCCCATCTCTTGATATTTCTTGCACTCTACTTTCCAACAATTGTTCAACAGCTATGGGCATTGAGGACGCCATATTGCCAATTTGCCCGACACTGCCTGAGTTTTATGCAGGTCTTCTACACTTTGCAGGTAAAACACACTAGTTCCAGACCTCAACCTCATCTTATTTTGTGCCTAAACCAGAATTCACCATATAAAACTGGCAAATTTTGAAATTTTATGGTAGAAAAAGCACCTAACAATCTTATTCATCATATTAAGTTAGTAAAAGGACGGTATTCCAATAAAAATCTGGTCCAAAATTGCAGTCATCAAATTGATTAATCCTGGTTTCGCCTCCAACATTTTTACATCAAATTGGTAGTTTCATGGATGCATTTGTCTTGCTATATAGAGCATTTAAGGAGGAAGGACGGTTACTAAATCTTAGAAAACAGAATCCTAGGTACTGTGTTGAAGGTTTGCAACCAGATGGCAGTTGGTATCGATATTTTTTGAAAATTTCGTACCCAAAGAAATGAAAACATATTGGCTGGAAAACCAAACTATATTATAAAACAGTGTACAGTTTCTGGAAAATGTTGGTGTCAATGACAATGGCAGATATCAGTCTAACTTTGGAAAGACTGTAGAGACTGTAGATACATAGTCGTTGATGTTGTAAAGTCTTGGATAAAATAATGAAAAGATGAAATTGAATTTGTGGGAAATATTATTTTAGGAAATGCATAGATATAACACAGTCTACTGAATAATCAAATGTTCTCCTATTACATGTCTGAGTTATCAATCAATCAATCATTGCAGTGAACCCAAATTGACTCACGAATAAAGACGAATATTCCCTAAAGTAAACAAGGTCAGGTATATCTTTTTCATCTGTAGAGTGTAGTTGCGCAAAAACAATCCACAGGAAAAACAGAGACATAATTAAAATCATCAATAATTAGCGAATCAGACACAGATGAATATTTATCATATATATTGAAATCATATTCAAATCAAGTGAATATGAAACTTCCGTTTATAATTGATTGCTTGTCTTCGCTTGCGCTAATAACGAAGTTAATAAAGCGAAAAATGTTGTCAAATTTTGTGCTCATTGCAAAAGAAAACCGCTATAGCTGGCTGAAAGTAGGGTATGGAAGGGGTAAAATATAAAATTTACTCGCGCTATTATTAGCAATGACGCGTAAAAACAAGCGCATCATGAAAGTGAAATATTGAACAGCTGATGGTCTGTCAGTCAACACTTATCAGGTATCAAGACAATAACATTGAAAATGAATATATTTATAAGTCACTCGTTTTACGACGCCACAGTCGACAATGTTTAGAAAATTTCATGCAACAAACATACTAACTGTAAACGCATTTCTGGTTTGTGGGTAAGAGTTAATATCAGCGGGGAAAAATGCCAAGAGGAAAAGCCGGCTTAAAATCCCCCACGAAAGCAGATGCAAAAGAGAATTTGCAACAAAGCTCTACAGTCGAGATGAAGGACATAGAATCGACGGCGTCTGTTGACATTCGTGGGGAAGAAGGCACGTGTGAGCTATCCACACAAAGCGAGTTACCTAACAATATTTCGGATATGTCTGTAGATGCCAATACTACAAGCAACGAAGGGGACGGCAGTTCGCTACCAAGGAAACCAAAGCGGCTTTTAACTTTCGCAGGTAGTAAGAAAAAGGACGCGAAGCGACGTCAAAGCGGCAACAAGACCGAGTCAACTGACAACAACAAACAGGCGTCACCTCAGGTGGAAACACCACAAAAACAACAGAGTATTAAAGCTGAGAGGGATAACACTTCACCCAAGAAGAAAAAGAATATCTGCCAATCTTATAAACGACAATTCTTTGACGATGGACACGCTTACGAAGACCCAAGCTTGGTAGTTAATAATTCAACGACGCCACCACACATGACTGAACAGAATTATCCCGAGAATCCGACAGAAGCAATTAAAAAGCAAAGCAAGATGGAAGAACGACCACAAAGCCCTAGTAGTGTAAAAACCGGTTTAAGTAAATCAACCGAAAGCATAAAAGCAGCCGTAAAAGGCTTGAAAGAAGGGCATGCCTCTATCATGTCGGAAACTTCAATTCCTCGAAGTATATTTGCTGCACTCGTGGCGTTATTGCTTTCGCTTATCGTTTTTCTGGCGGTGTATTTCTTGCTTCATTGTCATGCCGTTTTGTCTGTTGCTGTTGCCATTCTTGTGTATGTAGTAATATTCATAAACCTCGGCTTTATGGATGGAAAACGTATGAAGTGTTTGATATTGCTCTTGTTACCAAGCGTTTGTTCTCGAGGCGGGAGGCTAGCCTTGTATTTATTACTCGGCTACTTTGTTATAACTGGACCTTTATGTAATATGATCGGAAACATTAAAACTGTCAAGAACTCGATGAAGTGTATAAATAATGAACGGCCTGAGGTAGTCAGAGGAATTATAAAAACCTTTGAAGCGGCGCAAAATTGTATGAATAGTAAGCAAGTGCTGTCCACAAAAGCAAATAAGTCCATGGAGATTAAATGTCTAGAGCAAAGGATTGAGCAAAGGTGTTTATCTGTCAAAGATAAATTTCAACACAGATGCGGACTGAAAGATCATAAAATCGCCCCAACACTGTGTAATTTATCTGCAGAATTGTCCTGTATGAATGAAACAACTATTCTTAGAAATCTACAAGATTGCCCAAAGAAATTATCAGAAAGATATTGCCACAGCGAATTCCATGAAGTCTTAGAATTTCTAGATGAGATTACCAGTGATGATGATGGTTGTGGCTTCCTAGAAATATTCAGCATGTTATTTCCACTGCTCATAATATTTGTGTTGTATGAAGGCTATAATTATGAGAATAATTACAGGACATATAATGACTTTCATAACTTCTTCCTAACCGGACATTTTCAAATTATTGACCAGAGTCGAAGCTCGTGTGACCGAGATGCAGTGTTGCCTTTACGGAAGGTGGAACTTCGCAAGCACGTACGGCCGGCAACTGTATTTAACCTGACAGATATCGAGAAGAAAGAATTATGGAGTAATTTGAAAACATACCTACTAGCTTTGCTAATTGTGTTGTTTCTGATACTTGCCGATCTCTATATGTTCCGCATGTTTGATATGAAAAACAATGGAAAATTGCAATCAGACAGTGACGTTGTCCTAACTAATAACACTCCTATCACCAATATCAGTGAACATTTGAATAAAGCTAATCAAAATAACAATGAAACACGTCAGTTAAGCAACATAACTGGTTTTAAAGTAAGTACTACATCTGCTACAGATGGTTTTAATGTAAGTACTACATCTGCTCCAGAAATAAATCCCAACCCCCCTGTCGAAACCACCAATATTTGTTCAGCAAGTGTCGACCCTCCTGGTTCAATTTCTAAAATAATCCTACCAATAATTTTCTCCCTCCTGCTATTGATTATCATCTTTCAAGCCCATGTCTCGAGACTACAATGGTACATTTGCAGCCGGCTTTACACAATGCGAGAGAAAGAACGGGTATTTTACTTGTACAATAAGATCTTGGAAGACCGTGTTCAGTTGCTGGAAGATTGCCGAAAGAGAATGAAGTGTTATCGCCGTGAAACAAAAACTCTAAACTCACTAAAAATAACAAGAATTCTTGCCCAACAACTTCCCTGGCTTTCAAAGATATTCAAGATCTTTCATTTTAATCTGAGACGGTGTATAATTTGTAACGATTCAGAAAAGCCAGAATTCAAACTATGCCATGGCCTAGATTGTTCCTGTGTCTATTGTCTGACATGCTCATTTGATATTGATAAAAAGTGTTTGTATTGTGACACTGAACTCAAACATAGTTTATCTCTGAAACAGCCTGATGAAAAAGTGGTTAGTTCCAAAGAGTCTCTGGTATAAAACTTACATTTTGGTCTGTATGAGTGCAAATTTTGGAACTTCAGGTTGTTGAAATTTGGATAATGTGGAACCATATATTTCAATGATCTACTGTATAAACTATCATTTTACCTAGAGAGCTACTTTGCCTCATATTATTTGCAGAATTAGTGGGTTTCTGTGGGGTTAGAGTGCAGGAGATAGTGGTCAACTTCTGAAATGTTATCACTTACAGGAGCAAAAAATTACTCTTGATGAGTAAATCTACCCTTGATGAGTAAATTGATCTGGCATTAGACAGAGTAAAATAATAAGTGAGGCACAATGTGACTCAATGGGTCATTCCAGAAAACATCCATACCACCCCCATGGAGGAAATAGGAAGTTAACCCCCCTACCCCCTTCGGATGTCCTAATACATTTACTATTATCAGAAACAATTTTTTCTCCCCTCCCCCTCCGGATGGCAGAAATTTCCTCCGTGGGGGGAGTATGGATCTTTTCTGGAACGACCCAATGGGTTAAACTACATTTGTCAATTATTTTTTTTTCAAATCAAGACTACTACATATAATTATTATATTCTCACTCTGATAACTGCCAGTTGACCACTACCACCATTTAGTGATTTACCACCATCAAAGTGAAACCCAACTATAATAGAAAATATTTAGTTATGTTCTGATATAAAACACTATATAATCAAGTCTGGAACAGTTCAGGAACATAAAGCGATATAATTAGAATACAGTTCACTTGGCTGTAAAGAAGTCTAAGAATGTAGGTATTGTTCTAAACAGTTTTGCAATTCTGGTTACCATGCATGTTATGTAAGAACATTTTCTGCCCCATGTTGTTATGGTATAATGTACCAGTAATAACATCTAGCTCTCCAAACATAACATGCGCCAAAATAAGAGTTGCAACCACGCCCATTTTTATGAGGGTAGGCAATTTCCAAATATTGCATGACTTTGGGATTCGAAGTAACTTGTATAAGACTTTCTTGTGTTGGTTTTATGACAATAGTCATTAGGATATTTTACTTAAGATATTGAGTTTGAGACCATAAACTAAGTTATATGTTAAATATTAATCGTAGGTTAAACTCGTGTACAGTTATATTATACCATGTATTGGCAAGTGGTTTTGTATTTCTTTGCACGCGTTTGTTTCAAGGCCGTATAGTCGCTTTGTCAAGCTGGAGTAATATGAGCAACAAAATTGCTGCAATTTGCAACAAAATCTGATTTCAACGCATGTTAAGTAGAAATGTTGACACATGTTGCCTCGTGATTTGTAATTTATGTGTAAACATTTTCAATTAACATGCATAGAAATCCGATTTTGTTGCCAGCTTAACACGCATTTGATTGGTTAATCGGGTAGAACAATTACATCCGATTAGTTAATAGCAACGGCAGCGAGTTTGTCGGTTAACCGAGTCAAATCCGAGCCCGAGTCAAATGTCCGAGTCATTGTTTAATCAATGGTCTTTGCAGTTCAATGACTTAGTACCCTAATCCTAACTATAATCCCACTCCTAACTTACCCTAACCCTATTCAACTGTGAATTTTATTCAATTTCGGAGTTTGTCGGTTACTGAGTGACTCAAATCCGAGTTCGAGTCAAATGTCCGAGTCACTGTTTAACTGTCTTTGTCGATAAAATGACTTAGTACCCTAAACCTACTCCTAACCCTATTCGACTGTGAATTTTCTTCACTTTCGTCCTTTTTTTACGCGACTCGGGCTCGGATCGACTCGGTAAATGGATTTACTCCAACGGTAGCAGTATTGAAAGTCTAATAATTGTAATAGACGACCACAGATTGAAAACAATCTCGCTAAAAATCCCACAGCGCATGTTCAAACAAGTTCATTGAGAGCTATGGTCAAATTGACGTCAGAACGACTTGGGTCAATTTGACCCCAGAACGACTCCTTTACCGTCATTTTGACTCTTGAATAACAATTCAAAAGAGTCAAAAGGACGGAAAAGGAGTCGTTCTGGGGTCAATTTGATCCCAGAACGACTCTTTCCATCGTTTTGACTCGAGTTCCCTTAAACATTTCTTACAAATCCTGACTGAACTTAGAATTTTAATACCTATACAAAATCCTGGCTACAGCCTTATTAAGTAGACTTTCGCACAGTCCCGTTTCAAAGACGTCATTTTCATTCCGCGTGGTTCCTCGCACCCATCTCATCATTACTTGCCCAATAGGCAATAAGCCTAAGGAAAAATTCTGAGGCGAATTTAGTTATCAGAAGTCTAGACCGTGTAATTGGCGAAAGGAAGAGTACAGTATTTCTGTAATTACGTACCCTATCAATATTCGATATTTTATCCAGCTACGAAATATAGTTACGTAACTCTTCAAAAAATTGCTCTACGCAATATTTACGTTATATTTGCGCAGTAATTGTTATGATTTCTGATATCCACGTCGCCCACGCAAAGTTACGTACGATGCCCTTTGTTCTGTCATGCTTTGATCAATTTTATCATGTTCTCTCGCAGTCGGCGGGATTGGGATCTCTTTACAATGAAGTATGCGCTAAAAATACTCGCGTCTTCTCGTTCAAAATCAAGCAAGTTTCTTGGCTGCTTCGAAAAATATTTTAAGCCTTATTTTTTCGAAATTACAAGTGAAATTCTTTTTTTGAAATGGACTTGAAGATGTTGGTAATATTTCACTAATTCAAAGACGGTTTTAGCACAAGCGCTATTATGGGACAGCAGATGGTGTTCAAAATAAAAATACACCTCTGGAACCAGAACATAAGTCAACTTCAATACTGTTGACATTTATATATAAGAGCATCTAACCATCATTCTTTGCCACCAAATACAATGAAACTGCTACATATAATGCCGAGACAATCAAGTGACATTTCGAAACTGCTTTAATTAGCTTAGTTTCATTACAGTAACAGTATAAGATTCAGTCAAACGATCTTTTGTGGTCAGGATGAATCTAGTTGAGAAAATCGTTGTTCCCAGAGCCGAGAGGTAGACAAGATTCAGCCCTCAGTGATTTAGCCCCGGACGAAGGGACTTCGGCTTGAAACTTCGAACAGGCTTGTATTTTTCAGGTTGTAGCCTATACACTGCATGGCACAGGTCCGGTTCGAGATTTGAACTATAGTTTAAGTTAATTTTACAGAACAAGAAAAATGAGAAACAGTCCACGTGTTAATACTTTTTTAACATATAAATTTAAAAATTTCTGACATAGGATGACGTTTCATAGATTACTAGTATACTAAATCTTTTATCTGCAACGTAATTTATCTACAGTGTTTCAGTAAAATATACTCAGCCAGAATTACTCTAAAGCCTAGTTTCCATTTGGTCGTTAGTTGTCGCTGGCACGACAAGCGGTAGATGTGAAATAGTCTAATATAATGGTAGTCTTTTAGTGTGTTATATGCAAATCAGTCTTAATGATTGCAGAGTTTTATAAAGTTTTGTTGACACTCTATTAACATCAGCCACTTGTCGTGCCAGCGACAACTAACGACCAAATGCGGGAAACTAGACGTAACTCCAGTTACCCAGCTTCTGCCACGGGAGCTGCAGCACCATCCAATCTAGTGGTAATATTTGCTTCGTAGTCAAAGCCACAAGAACACAACACTTGGTAAAATCCTTTACGAAACAGTTTATTGGATGCAATATTTATTACTGGATGAGTTGCACAACTTAGCGCGATCAAAAACCATGATGTTAACAGCACATTTCTCGGAAGTTCAACTCCGGCCAGCGAGAGCAGAGCAAATAATATCAGAGGTAGCCATGATAGGCCATAAGCGAAAAATATCAGCATGGATGTTTTTGTGAAGTTTACCTCTTCGTAATAATATGCTTTGGGTCCAGTAGCTGGAGGCCATGGCGTATTAGTACCCTGTGGCAACACACTTGATATGTGTTTCCTAATTGTGGTGAAAACTTTATAGTAGCAAAATAAAGTTAGAATATTCAATAATATAAGAACTGTAACATCGAATGCAGAAACCAATTTTTTAGCCCGGCTTGAACACAAGCCTATCTCTGGTATAAATTCATAACCACCCATATGTGCGAAGCGTAAAAACGCCCAAAATATGGAGAGGAACCATTGAACCACCAATACTTTATACGCGTTCTTTCGCTTGAAGAGTATTCGGTAATGAAACGGGTAGACGAGCATTATGTAACGATTCAATCCCAATGCAGCTATGGTTAATGTTAATGAAGTCATCAAGCAGTGGTTTTGAAACCCTTGAAAGTCACACGCCGCTTGTGTCGACGACCATTTCCCTGTAGTCAAAGCAACTGTCCAGAAAGGCCATACCGTAACAGATAGTAGGATATTGGTTATAGCAAGATTAACGATGAACAAGTTCGGTACGGTACGAAGATATTTGTCGCGATATACACAAGCACAGACTAACAAATTCCCAAAGAAACAAACAATGGTTATTATGATACTTGCCACAGATTCAATAAGCACAACACCATCGGACCGACCCTCGATACATCCTGTAGAATTCTGTCCACAACTTGAAACCATTTCGAACTCCTTTAACACGACATATCATCAGGAATTTAGCTGATTAACTAACATGTTGTTGTATGGCAAGATTTGGAGTCCCACAGCTTGGAAGAAAATGCAATTGATTTTTCATGAATATTTTTGTATGCTCTAATGCGCGTTTCGCCTTCAAGCTGGGTATCTTCTGTTCTTGACTTCCTTTCAATAAACGGCAAAAGAATACTACATTCTTATGTAATACAGCGTCTGCCAGCAATAAAGTTATCTTATTAACCGGTTTCGGTTAGTGTGACGTACAGGGCATCAGATGATGGCCAACTTCAGAAATATCGAGCAGGCAAAAAAACTGTACATCCATCGATGGTTTTTCATTGTCTCAAATTACACGAGTACCACATATGATAAACATAACTATAGTACTATTTGTTCATTCTGAAACTGCCGGTTTACAACCATCTGCTGCACGATAGTGGACATGAAATCCAGCCACTGATCATGTTTTACAGTGCAATGTCTGCAAGTGTGGGTCAATCGATGCATGATGTGGTCAAAGTATTGCCCAAGCAGAGTCACATGTACCTAACTTATTCGAAAAGGTTCTGTTTTTTGCGGCTTTTTGCCGTCGTTGAAGCATGTGCTGAAACGCTCTGCATCGGTTATTCCATCCCTGTTGTCTGTTGAAACAATTGCGGCTCAATCCCATGCAGTGGGGGAAAAGACAGACTTCAAATTGCAAAGGAAACCCCTCTCACTTGTACTAAAATGCTTAAAAACTATCGATACCTCGAGGCCAGGACCATAGATATCTTATATAGACTAGATAGCGCATCTCTTTTAGTAAAATTGAAGCCAAGAATATTCCAGCGGTTACCCCCATTTGAATAGATGGCGGCTATGTTGGTGTAGTTCCCACTCGCTAATTAACGCTTAAAAACAACAATAACTTTCATCATTTCAAAGCAAAATAATAATAAAGTTATTTATCCGAAACTAAAGGGATTAAAATTTGCCCATGTGAATATAACTAGCCTTCCAAAACATTTAGACGAATTAAAATTATTTCTCCAACAACTACCATTTGAAATATTAAGTTTAAATGAAACGAGATTAGATGAGACAATTCAAAATAACATGGTTCAGATTCCAGGTTATGAGATAATTAGACGAGATAGGAATAGAAGAGGCGGAGGGGTTGCTTTTCTTGTCAAGAATAACTATTCGTATACTCTACGAGACGATCTAATTCCAAAAGATCTTGAAGCAATCTGTATTGAATTAACGCTACGTATGAGTCGGCCAATTTTGATTCTGACTTGGTATCGACCTCCTGATTCGAATGCAAAAGTATTCGATTTGTTTGAAGAATTTCTGCAAAAGGCTGAGGCAGAACATAAGGAATTGATTATTCTAGGCGATTTGAATTGCGATTTGTATACAAATACGGCAAGTTCAAGTACAATTACAAAAAATTAATTGAATTATTGGATGTTTATCAGTTAAAACAACTCATTAAGAAACCTACACGTGTAACAGCTAAAACAAGAACATTGATAGATGTTATTATAACTCAATTGGGAAATACGAATGTTACTGCTTCTGGAGTCATACACCTTGGAATTAGCGACCATAGTCTGGTGTATATACTTGTCGCAAAATTAGTACCCAAAGGGAAAAACCAAAAATTGTTGAAACTAGGCAATTTAAACATTTTAACAGTCGAGCATTTGAAAATGACTTAAATCAAGCTTTTGCTGCTAATGATGTTTATCATCTTGATGACCCAAATGAGATTTGGAATGTATGGAAAACTATATTTCTATCTTTAGCTAATAAGCATGCACCTCTAAGACAAAGGAAAGTTAGAAGCACTTATAACCCTTGGATAACTACGGAGATTAAGTACCTTGGTCACCGCAGAGATTTCCTAAAAAAGAAAGCGGTCACGCATAACTCAATCTATTATTTTAATGAGTATAAACAATGTAGGAACAATTTGAATAAAACAATCAAGGAAACCAAAAGCAATTATTATAAAAGTAAACTAAATGCATGCAAGGACCACAAAGAGAATTGGAAATTGATAAATGAATTGCTAAACAATGCATCAAAAACTACTATAATTAATGAATTGGTTGTTGACGAAGGAAAAATAGTAGGAGATGAGAATATTGCAGAAGAATTTAACAGCTTCTTCTCGCGCATAGGTACACGTTTAGCTGAAAATATAGACGCAAGTGATGTCGATCCACTGTCTTTCGTAACATCTACACCACACAACTTCGATTTTCAAACTATATCCCATGATAAAGTTAGGGAGGAAATTAAGCAAATGAAAACTGCTAAATCATCGGGCTATGACAAAATTTCTGTGAAACTATTGCAGGCCGCTGGGGGTGCAATCGTTGTGCCACTAACGTATATATTTAACCAATCTCTTAAGACTGGAATTTTTCCAGATGACTGGAAAATTGCTAAAGTAACACCTATCCACAAATCAGAAGAAAAAACCCTATGCGGTAATTATAGGCCGATTTCTGTCATTTCTATAGTTCCCAAAGTATTTGAGAAAGTTGTACATGAACAATTAATGAAATATTTGGAACACCACCAAATAATTTCCAAATTTCAGTCTGGATTTCGTGTAAATCATTCAACTGAAACATCATTACTACATGTAACTAATAGCTGGTTAGCAAACATGGACGCTGGTTTGATTAATGGTGTCCTATTTTTAGACCTTAAAAAGGCCTTTGACACGGTAAACCACAAGATTCTTTTATCCAAATTGGGATGTTATGGAATTCGTGGATTAGCACTGTCATGGTTTCAATCATATCTTAGTAACAGGAAACAAATTTGCAAAGTAAATAACTCGCTATCAACCTTCCAAAATATTACATGCGGCATCCCACAAGGATCTAACCTTGGGCCACTTCTGTTTACAATTTATATAAATGATCTGCCAAATAGTTTAGAAATAACTGAACCCGCCATGTTTGCTGATGATACAAGCTTAACTGCAACTGGGGAGTCTTCTTTTGAAATTGAATACAAATTGGGGGTGGAAATCCAAAACGTTAAGACTTGGTTAGATGCAAACAAATTAACATTAAATGAAGAAAAACCCGAGTATATGCTAATCGGCTCAGGAAAGCGCTTAAAACAGATCAGAAATGACCCTATTATTAAAATTAGAGATCATATAATTAAACGGGTTTACAAGAAAAAGGTCTTAGGCTTAGAAATAGACGATAAATTACAATGGACAAAACATGTTGAAAAACAAAATTTCTTGTTCTATAGCTATGTTACGAAAAGTGAAGCCTTACGTACCTCAAGCAACACTACAGATGATGTATAAGTCATTTGTACTCCCCTATTTCAACTATTGTTCAACTATATGGTATGATGGTAATAAAATGCACGCCGAAAAAATGCTGAAATTGCAAAAGCGTGCAGCACGGATCATTACCAGTTCGGGCTTAGAAGAACAATCTTCTGAAATTTTTCAAATGCTCAAATGGACAAAAATACAATCAATACTAAAAAAGAGAGAATTAGTGATGACATTTAAAGCACTTAGGGGTATGGCTCCAGAATACTTAACACAGATGTTTCATGTCTCCGTTAACCAAACCTACCAACTACGAAATAATCATCAAAAGCTTTACCTACCAAAACCTAAGACGAATTTTTTAAAAAGAAGCTTCTCCTATAGAGGAGCAGTTTCATGGAACCAAATGTTAATGGAAAAACTTCCAATTACGGAAATACCTGAAACTTCCATCTGTTCTTTTAAAAAATTAATAGATGGCTTGTGTTTTTGAATTGGGAGGTCATCCTGCCAAACCATATCAAAGCATTGTGCCTTGCCGATGTAAATAGAGTATATTATGCATGATTGTTTTGTTTTTTTTAGTTAATAATTTTAATATTCTTATAATAGTTTATAGTAAGTGTGCACGGCCCTTTGAAAAACAGGCTTCTGAAAGGCTACCGTGAATAAATAAGCTTAAATAATAATAATTTGAATAGTTTAAAAATGTATTTGGAACAAGTTTACCTTAATATTTAAGTTCCGTGTTTAAGAAATAGAAAACATACGAATCTTCTCATTTCATTTCATTTCATTTCATTTCATGAGAATATCCTGAGTCTGCAACCACGGCTTCAAGTTTTGAATTGTAGAATAATTAGATGCACTATCTAGTGTATATAAGATATCTATGGCCGGGACACTAACAATCGCCACTCCGAAAACGGTTGGCAATTTTTTAATCTCGAACGGTCTGTGCCAGTGTAGGTAGTACCAATAATAAAAAACTTCAGTTTGACAGGGATACAACTATACCTGAAAAATACAAGAAGAACTTCGACGTTTCGAGTGAAGGCCCTTCGTGGCCACTAACTTTCCGACGAAGGGCCTTCGCTCGGAACGTCGAAGTTTTCCTTGTATTTTTCAGGTAGATACAGCAGCCTCGTACCCAGGCGCTAAAAATGGGCACACTACAGTGTTTTTATGTAGATCAGTGGCTCGAACGCGCGGGGCACCCCCGCGCGCTCGCTCATCTTAGCCACTGATCTGTATAAAAGTACTGTAGTGTGCCTATTTTTAGTTAATTGCGCCTGGGTACGAGGCT